TACAGTACTGTGCAAAAGTAATGAGAATTTTTTTGTGTACAATAAAATCCTATTTGTGGCGCCAATGTTACTCCAATTAAAAAACGGTTTTACGGCATAAATTTTATATCAATTATAGATACTATTACGCTTTCTAGCTTGACGATAACTATTACTCTTATCATCATACGTCTACTCAAAGTAATGGAATCATCTCTTGCGCAGCAAAGATCCGCTATAAGACAATTATGGGCTAATAACGTACGAAAACCAAAAGTTCTTTCTGAAATGACAGGTGTTCCGTTGTCTACTGTATACAGATATGTTGCCCAATTAAAAAAATATGGCAAGTTAGAACCACTTCCTCGCTCAGGAAGGCCTAGAATATTGAGTCCGAAAAAACGACGTCAACTAGGTCGTATGGTTCAAGCAGATAATTATACAAACAGCCAAGAGCTTGCCACAAAACTCATTGAATCTAACCCCGGTTTGAATGTCTCACGAAGTACAATATCCAGAGAGCTTTCTCGGCTTCATTGGAAGGTTGATATTCCAAAAAGAATTCCTTTTTTAACAGATAATCATAAAAAAAGACGAGTAGAATGGGCTCTAAGACATGCCACTCTAAACTGGAAAAAGGTAATATTTTCTGATGAAACCACATTCCAGATGTATAGAAATACCGTTAAAGTTTATTATAAAGAAAATCAACCACCACCACAAAAGGCTATGCCCAAGCATTCTTACAAAATTCACTTCTGGGGGGCATTTTCAGCAAAAGGTCTTATTGGATATTTTATGTTTACTGAAAACATGAATGGAGACCTTTACAGGCAAATTCTCAATGAGAATTTATTTGATGATGCATCTGCTTTGATGGGAAAATCTTAGATTTTTCAACAAGATAATGATCCCAAACATACAGCTAAGGCAACAACAGAATTACTCCACTCAAAATGTCCAAAATTGCTGGACTGGCCCAGATCTCAATCCAATTGAGAACCTATGGGCTATTATGAAAAAAAGAGTTGAAAAAAAGGTGAATAAATGCTTGGCCACAAAAAAAAAGATAGCAGTAGATGAGTTCAAAGATTT